ACACGTCCTATATGTCCTTTTCCATTGAATTTGTGCTTCTATTTTAATCACGATTTGACCATGTTTAAATTCTTTGACTGTTTTTTAAGGAGAGGATAAGATTGCCTGCGAGTAACGTCGACTTTCCACACACTAGCATTTGTCAAAATGTTCAAAATTTGTTCATGTCCACTTTAAATACCCTTACTAATAATTTTTTAATTCCACACAAATATGTGCATACATTTAAATATTTTGTTGGCCAATAAAATTTTGACACATAATCTACTCTACTTATTTCAAAAGTACACACATCAAATCAAAATAAAAGCTATATTTCTCTCTGACACGTGTATAAAATATCAAGAACTACATTTTAAGAGTTTTGCTTGGGGTACATAGGAGATAACATNGAGTTTTGCTTGGGGTACATAGGAGATAACATAGGGGTTGACATAATACTCACATGGGGTGGGACCCGCTTTTAAAATGGGTCCCACCCCATGTGAGTATTATGTGTACCATTATGTAGAAAAATTATGTACAAGTAGCATTTTTGACATTTTAAATGTCAAGAACTTCATGAAATATAGAGAACTCTCATTTTTGGAATGAAATCTCGTTCTAAATAAATGCAATATCAAGATAAATAGGATTCAATAATCTTTAACAATTAGGGATATAATAGACAATTCAATACTAAATTTGGCATTTTTGCGAGAGTTATCAAAATTAGACATTTTTTAATTGGCTACTATGGAATTAACCATTTTTTGTAAATTCCCCATGAAAATTTTATAAATGGAATCATAGTTCAAATGGAGTTTGATTTAGGTTCAATTTTATAATTAAAGCCTATAACAATAACGAGACATTCTGTGTAAATACAAATGACTAAACAAGATAAGTCGAAGGTTTCAAGATACAAGAACCAATAATCAAATCGAACGTTTACAGCAACAAATAAGCTTTTCTTTCTGGGTGGTAGGACAACATCACACGTTTCTTCGGAAATCAAAGTTTTTGAACACCCCCCACCCCCACCCCAGCCACAAACTCCCAATTTTCCACACGTTTCTCTTTTTGCCCTTGTTTGTGTAAATTGTAAGGTTGATAAAAATTTAAATCAAGAATAATAATTGATTTTAATTATTTATTTCATCATATTCACGAATTTTATCATTTTTTCAACAACATATTTTAGTAATTTTTAAATTACTAAAAAAACTAAATTTATGACTACACCAAACGGGGTTTTATCTTTTCACCAATCACCAATGAGAAAGGGGAAATTACATTGTTTATCATTAATCTATTATTTTGGTAATAAGTTGGTCCTTAGATTTTTAGATCGAAGTAAATTAATTTGCAATTTTCATTACATCTCACAATCAATCTCCAATAAAGCGAGTTATTCAATTTTTTGTTAAATTATAGCCCTTGTTTGAGCTCCATTTTGAGAGAAAAAATGCATTTAATGTGTGGTTAAAAATGAAGAATTTTTTTCGAGTTACGTGCAATATTATTTTATTAGAAAATGTGTTGTTGAAAATGAATTTGGAAAAAATAATTTTTTTTGATCAAATTGAGCTCAAACAAGGGCATTATTATTATTATATGATCATCGTATGTAGGGCTATAAATGGATCAGATCTGCTTATATCAGATCATATAAGAATAATTATTGGATTCGATAATCTGACGAATATTTGGTTGTTAAATTCATATCTGATTTGCTATATTATCGGATATCTAATCCGATAATTCGATCTAAAATTAAAGAAATTGGGAAGATAAAAACTTAGGAAAAATTGCAGCAGTGGTCCTTAACCTTTTCAATTTTAGCGGACTGTACCATGATCTTCAAAAAAAAAAAAAGCTAGTTAAGAAAAAAGAGTAAACTAATCCGCAATTTTCATTGGAGTTGGACAATCAATCTCCAACAAGTTTTCATTACTTTTGATTTATAATTAATTAAAAGTCCTTTTATGGGCTCTCATAATTTTTTCCATCCAATAGCGATGAATTATAGAGGTTTATAAAAAGGGAAAAAAATAAATTATTCATTAGGGAAAGGAAAAGAAATATCATAACCCAACTACAATTTTCACGAGAACCACACAAAATGAACCAATTTTGAAGTGTGTCGATCGATAGGTGAAAATCTCCCTAAAAAAAGAGGAAATTACTTCAAAACAAGAATACGTCAACTTTACTCAATTATAAATAATTTATTAGAACTTGTTTATAATTGATTCAGTCTGTCATCTAACCGTGCCAACCCTACCTTCGAGTGCTTATTGAGGAGTGCCTTGTTACTTCGCGACCATTTACCCACCTAGTCCAAAAAACTAATTATTACGACCACCTCTAAGAGATTATTTGTTTATAAAAATGATCTTATGCATTATAGAGAGTACTTTTTATTTTTACTCTTTATTTTTTTTTTCAATGAACAATTATTAATTTCTCCTCATCTCCTATTTAACATAATTTCTCTATATGTTAATGAACATCAATTCAAATGTAATTTGAATAATTTAAATTGTAGAGTATTAAAGTTTGTAATTTATTAAATGTTAAAATAGAGAATTTCTTGGAGGTTGTTGACAAATCGCTCGTGATTTGTCAACCTTTTTATTAAAAAATAAAAATTACATTTTATACTGAAGAGCCGAGGCTCGATCCAATCCCTACTTCACTCTCAAAAATCAAAAGAAATAAATGTGTCGAACAAATTTATGTATGCACAACAACATCTCGTTTGGGAAATTTCTATTTTTTAAAATAATTATTATACCATCCCAATAATTTTTTGCCTAACTCCATCCAGGAATTAATTTCTTATTTTGTTTTAATTAGTGAATTTGAAAGGTTCCCATCCGCCTTAGAAAATATCGAGTAATTAGCACATAAGGTCTTTACATTTCAATGTTATTGTGAAAAACATTCTTACATTTTATTTTTTGGCATTCCACCCTTATTTTCACATTTCATTACGCAAAATATCATTTTTATCTATTTTCTGATTTAAAATTTTTAAAATGACGAATATACATTTCTATTTAAATAATAATAATAAAAAAGAATTAATTGCAATTATAATCCATTTTTTAAAAAAAATACAAATAAATCTGAAATAAATTATTAAAATGGTAATTAACACATAATGTCCCTCATGTGTCATTATTATTGTGAAAAACGTTTATACATTTTATTTTTTAAAAACATTTTCACCATTAATTACACATTTAATTACGCAAGTCATATTTCTATCCATTTTCATTTAATTTTTCAATAAAAAGTCGTGAAATGACGAATATAAATTATTAAAATGGTAATTAACATATATGTCCCCCACCTGTCACTATTATTGTGAAAAACGTTTATACATTTCATTTTTTTTAAAAACATTTTAAATATTAATTACACATTTGATTGCGCAAGCCATCTTTCTATCCATTTTCATTCAATTTCTCAATAAAAAGTCTTGAAATGATGAATATAACCTCTTATTTAAATAAAAAAATAAATGATGAATTGCAATCATAGTTTCAATTTTTTTTTTTTTAAATGCAAACGAATCCCGAATAAATGATTAAGAATTAGAAATTAATTTTTTTTAAAAGAAGTGCAAACAAGGTTCAAATAAAGTATTAAAAAATTAGAATTTTTTTTTTATAAAAAAAAGCAAACGAGTCCCAAATAAATTATCAAAAATTAAAAATTAATTTTTTTAAAAAAAGTGTAAGCAAGTTCCAAATAAATTATTAAAAAATTATATAAATTAAAAAAATTAAAATTACAAACGAGTCCCAAAATAAATTATTAAAAATAGTTAATTTTCTTGAATTTAATTTTTTATTTAAACAGTTATATTCGTCATTTCACAATTTTTTATTGAAAATTGGGTGAAAATGGATAAAAATGATTTTTGCGCAATTAAATGTATAATTAAGGGTGAAAATGTCGAAAAATAAAAGGTATGAACGTTTTTCACAATAACAGTAAAATGTATGGACATTATGTTCTAATTACGCTTTTAATAATTTATTTGAAACTCGTTTGCTTTTTAAAAAAAAAAAAAATTGGGACTATAATTGTAATTATTTTTTATTTTTTTATGTTTTATCTAAATAAAATGATATATTCGTTATTTCAAAACTTTTAATTAAAAAAATGGACGAAGATAACTTTTTGTCCAAGGGTGAAAATAAGAGTAAAAAAATAAATTAAAAAAAGAGTGATAAAGACCTTTTGACCTTTTCCACCGTTCCACGGTAATAATGAACAATTATGTACTAATTACCCTAAAATATCAGTCCTTCCATTTCATCGTTGTGATTAACTAGAAAACGGCTATAATTGGCGAATTCCAGTTTTCAGAAAAGGAAAAAAAGAAAAATTCTACTTGTACAGTCCTCGAAGGACTGTACAAGCAGCAGCCCTCGGAAAAAAATTAGAAGCAAATGATACAAAATAAAATGACAAAAAACTCTCACCCCTCGCTCTTTCTCCACGAGGGTTTTCACTTTTTCGTTGAATCCAAAGAAAAATTCTTTATATAATTCTTTTACGGGGACGTCCTCAACTAAAATTCGAGTATATTTTAAAAGATTATAAATCCTAATTAATTTCATTAAATATGGTGAAATTTTAAAAGATTTGATTATATATATTTTTAAGCTTGAAATTCATCCAAATCTTTTAAAATATATCCATTAATAAATTCTTTATAAATCTACCAGTTATCGATGATATATAAATTTTGAAGGATTTTATTAATATTTCAATTGAGGACACCTAAATTTTAATGAATTTCGTTAAAATCCATTAAAATTCCACTTGAAGAATTTTGAAGGATTTTTAAAATTCATCTACACCCCCCCACTTACTTTATCTTTCTATGGCTGCCTGCATATAATAATCACTTATAAATAATCGCTGAGGGGACAGAAAAATTTAAAGTGATTTTGTTTAGGATAGTAGGTGACTGATATTTCAAAGCGCATTTTAAGAGAATGATTAAGAAAATATTAGTCCTGATGAGGCTTGATGGTAATTACACTTCAAAAAAGAGTGATGATATATGTGAAGAAGTTTGTGGGCCGGTATGCTTCTATCCATTGCCGCTTAATTTAATTTCTAAATTCAAATACTTCCCTGAATTTTTTCCCTTGCTTGATTGAAAGATTGAAACTTTGGGGCTGTTATTGAGTTTCGACGAAAGGGTATTTCTCTTTCAGGAAATAAATAGATTTATGAATCAGTGTTGTCATTTCGTACTTGTTGGTTTTATGTGTGATTCTTCTGCTCGAACTGTGTAATGGCAGCAAATTCTCGGAGCCCTTTTGAGGTTTTTCTTTATTACCTTCAATTTTTAATGTACAAATGTGTTTAAAGGAAGCTTATTGTTGGTGATTGTGAATGTTTGGTTTCATATTTTTCTTTTCTATTGTCTTTGTTTTTTTGGCTTACAGGGTTCTAGTTCCTCTTTCAGTGGTTGGTTTTATCGTGAGAATTCTTACTGGAGATGAACTGCTAATCTGTGTTTTTGAAGGAAAAGATTTATATGAAATTTATATGGCTTTTTAGATTTAAGCAAGACGTTGGATTTTAACCTCGATTACAACGATGTCGAGCTTTTGATTTTTGTGTGTTATCTTTTATATTTAATCTTAGGAAGTATCTTAATTGTGTAAATGTGCAGCGGGATTCCCCAGCAGTCCTCAGCACATCGAGGCTTCGGTGCTTGCTCCAGGGACTGGATATAAAGGCCTTTATCTTTTTCTTCCTAGTTGTACCAACTGTTGTAGTTGGTGTGTATATTCACGGACACAAGATCACATTCATTCTTCGTCCCATATGGCAATCTCCACCGAAGCCCTTTGTCCCTATAACCCACTATTATCATGAAAATGTCTCGATGGAGACTCTTTGCAAGCTTCATGGTTGGGGAATTCGTGAGTACCCGAGGCGTGTGTATGATGCAGTTTTATTCAGTAATGAAGTAGAGATGCTAACAATAAGATGGAAAGAATTGTATCCTTACATCACTCGGTTTGTTCTTCTTGAATCGAATTCGACATTTACTGGTTTACCCAAACCTCACTACTTTGCAATCAACCGGGGCCAGTTTAAATTCGTTGAGCCTCGATTGTCTTATGGAACAGTCGGTGGTGGATTTAGAAGAGGTGAGAACCCATTTTTTGAAGAAGCATATCAGAGGGTGGCACTCGACCGGCTTATGAGAATAGCTGGTATAGAGGATGATGATTTGCTGATAATGTCGGATGTTGACGAGATTCCAAGCAGTCATATAATAAATCTATTAAGGTGGTGTGACGATATTCCTCCAATTCTTCACCTTCAGCTCAAGAACTACTTGTACTCATTTGAGTTTAAGTACGATGATGGGAGTTGGAGAACTTCAATCCACAGGTGGTGTTAAACTACTTTGTCTAAAAGTTTAAACTGTTAGAGACAAGACATTTATTTATATACGACATACTCCCTCAAGTGTTCATTTCTAATCAAAGTCACAATTTCATATTTAATTAACCCATATTTCTAACAGGTATCGGAGAGCGAAGACTAGGTATGCACATTATCGTCAGTCAGACTACCTATTGTCAGATGCCGGGTGGCATTGTAGCTTTTGTTTCCGGCGTATCAGTGACTTCATATTCAAAATGAAAGCTTACAGTCACACCGATCGTGTGAGGTTCTCTCACTATCTGAGCCCGAAAAGGATTCAGGATCTTATATGCAAAGGGGCGAATTTATTTGATATGTTACCCGAGGAGTACACCTTCAAGGAGATAATCGGGAAAATGGGACCTATCCCCCATTCATATTCAGCTGTTCATCTTCCTGCATATTTGTTGAACAATGCAGACAAATACAAATACCTTTTGCCTGGGAACTGTATAAGAGAACGCGACTGAGTGTATATTATGTATGAATGTGACAATGGGAGACTGATTTCTGATACATTACCAGTATACCTCATCGGCAAAGGAGTCTATATCATTATTTAGTATTGACTTTGGTAATATACAGATTACTGAGTACTGTTATTGTTGTGTCATTAGTGATAGATGTTTATTTACTTTGCTTAGGTGTTGGTTTTCTGTATTCCATGACGCCATTGCATCAGAGCAGAGTTAAATTTCTCTGTCTTCTTCTTATTTTTGTTCTGATGAAAAACAATTTTATTTGCATAGTTAGGCCTCAATCTTTAAAACTAATTAATATCCTCGTCCTTCGATTATTGTTGCACGAGTAATCTCATGGGATTAAAGCCGTCCATTTGACCGTCAAGATAACACGTGTGAATATGATCCTATAATAATATGCATCTCGTGCCATAATTGATTGGCCCCATGCTGTTTTTGAGTTATTTGAGCATTTTATGATTTCGTGTGGTGGTGAACAAACAAAACAATAAAAATAGAGGGTCAGAAATAAAAAAAAGATTTGCAACTTCAGCCTCCATATTGTTAGGTACTCCACCCCTTATTATTAACAAAAATAGTGTAATAAGTAGCCCCACGGGCATGACGCGGTGGTAAAGCAGAAGGGTTCTCTACAGAGTATTGGAGGTTCGAATACCCGTGGTAGTTGGAAGGCAGATGTTCTGTGGAGGCAAAGTTATGGTGCGTTTTGTCGTCTTTTCGAAAGTCCTGTCCGTACGTCGTAAATGGATGTCCACAAAGAGGAGAACCGCTTTTAGAATGTCCGACCCAAATATGTATAAGTTGTGACCGCATTTAGATTTACTCGGATGGTGAACCAAGGGGGAAGGTCGTCACTCCTGAGGACTAGTCGACCAAAGTTCGAACACTTGAGTTATCAAAAAAAAAAAAGGTCTAATGAGTGAATGAGAAAATTATGAAAATGTAGAGATCACATGGTGGCCGGTACTTCAACGAGCCTTTGGAAATGAAATCTACATTCAGGACAATTTTTCCAAGGAAACAAAAGTATATTAGGCACGATTGTGAGGGTTAAAAAAAAAAAAATCGCGTTAAAGAGTAATTTTTAGACGAGATCTTTTGAAGTTTTTAAAAGTATTCTTTTAAGTATTATTTAGAAAGTATAAATTGTCAAACCCAATTCCAACCGTAGCAGCATAGAACAAGAATTTATTCTCCTTGTGTTATTCTCAGTTCTCACCGCCCCCACAACTGGAATTCTGAAAGTACACTAAAATCCATAATCTTTGTGTACACATCAACAAAGTACAGCAGTTTAGAATCTTGCTGTAAATTCCAAAGAAATTTGGTTTGGTTAGAACAAGAATGGCTTTGTTTATTACAAATTTGCGGCACCCCAGCCAACTAATAAAGTGGGAAAAATTACTTTCTGCCAAATTGTTAGGAAAAATTAATTAAACTGGTAAAAAGTAATTTAAAGACAATTCAGATATACGAGAGAAATATGATGATCTATTCACAAACTCGAATCATCATATGTTCATACCAAAAATCTACTGATCTTCCTACTGAGATCGGATAATAACAACCAAACAGTACTAATATCAAGAACCACTACTAGGCATGAAAGCGGACTATGTTGAACCAAGTTCATCTATAGCGAAATAGCAGAAATTGAAAGTGTTAACATTCGATCTGCGACCTAATTAAATCCGATTGTTAAATGCACTCGGCTTATCCTAATTCGAGATCAGCTTTATAAGGTCAGCTCGTAACGCCATGGTTCAAAGGAACATAATGAGTATAAATTCCTTACACACTGTTAAAACATCCAATCAAATTAATTATTACATTCAAAACTTACGTCAGCGTCTACTTATTTCACCAATCATATGATGTAACTTCTTCCACTCACTAGTTCATTAATTGCTAGGGACCCACTTAAAATGATGGTTTCATGATAACCTAGTGAAGCCGACCTCAATAACCAATTGAAGTATGTCAGTAATATACTTTTTCAGTTTAACACTGGTGATTGACAAGACATGAATGCAAAAAATACTGGATCTTCTTTTCCTATAAAATGGTGTAAGGTATCTTTAGAAGAGGGGAACACCTTGAGATGGAAAACATCTCCTTTGATGAAACTCTTGTAATGTATAAGTGATTATCAATAAAGATCATTATTTTTTCTTTATTTGCTTTCAAAGTTGACTTGAATTGATCCATACACTTTTTAACGTCAACAGAAAGAGATTTGGAAGAACGATTTACTGAATATGAGAAGATCGCTAGGCAAATTTGACACCAAAAAATGTGTATAAATGTAGATATCACTAATGATACATTCCATAGCTACCATCACGATGTATGAGGGAAACAGTGGCATCATAAAGTCTCTTCAAAGAAACAATATCTAATCGTTCTTGAATGCAAAAAGAATTTGCCACAAAAGGCAAGTACAATACAAACAAAGACTGCATCTTCCAGCACCTGTCTCAAGAGTCGGATCAGCATAACTCCAAGCAGTTTGATCCATTGTTCCCCGTGCATTCTTAGCCAATAAGAGCGCCCAATGTCCATTCCAATAACAGTATAACACATGTTGAGAAGGATTTTTGACTTCATAATTTTCAGCCTTTGGACTTTTAGCTCATATTCACTTCAGTTGCTGCTTGCCTTCACCATTGCATCCCATTAAAATAAGATTCATCACATTCCCGTTTTGCATCTCTTACTCGCTAAACGAGTCCTCAGAAAAGGAATCGTCGTCTACCATCGCACCAGTACGTCTGTTCAAACCTCTCTTCGTGTTCCTTCCTGTATCTCTCTTTACCTGATCATAGTCTCTCTCATCACTACTGCTCCTGTAATGATTACTCTGGCCTCTGGAATCTCTTTGGCTGTGTCTTACTCCATCATCTGACTCCCACAAGACATCTTCCAGGTCACTTAGCGTATCTTCTGCAATGGAATCCTGTTTAGAGAATCTACTGTTCGACTCAACTTCATTTCTCTTAAAGTTGGTTCTGGTTCTGCCAGTCTTATTATGCTGCCATCTCTCTCCTTTACTCACAGCAAATTTGTCAAAAGCTTCCTCAGAGTCATCAGCATTACTCCCGTGATTCACATTTCCAGTATCATCAGAATCCCATTCATCATCGGGCTCAGAAGCATCTTCATCTTCACCATCACTATCAATGATTTTCTTCCTACTATGCATCTGATTTCGGTTCCTTGCTCCTCTGTTCTCATCATCCGAATCTTCACTTCCATTAACTTCAGATCTTCTAAATCTACCACCTAAATCTTCCTTGTTCCAATATCGGATTCGTCCAAGGTTTTCTTTCTCCGCTTCTTCCTCGGCGGCCCATTCTTTATCAGCTGCATCTTCGATCTCAGCAATGAAGCGGTCAAGCTCCTCCTGGTCACTGTCATCTTCTGCAGGCTGTTGTTGAGCAAGACCATCAGGTTCCACTCGTGTATTTTTGTCGTCCTGATAAACATAAGGACTTCCTCCTCTCTTGTCAATTGCGTTAAAGAATGTAGATGCCACTCTCTGGATGCTTGCCATGGCAACTGGATCATCAGGATTTACTCCTTTCCGCCTAAGCTCTTGTTCTATTTTCTTAATGTTTAGTTTCTGAGATTCAAGTGCTTGTTCAAATCGTGCTTTAAATAATGCCTGCTCGTTAAAGACACCAATAGTTACGGTTTAAACATTTCACTGCACTGTACAAGCTCAAAAGTTTCGAGTAACAAATAAAGAAACCAAGTTACATAAAGATGCCAACGTTAAAGACACCAATATTTACGGTTTAAACATTTCACTGCACTGTACAAGCTCAAAAAGTTTTTAAGCCCTTGTTTGGCATCCATTCTATTTTTCATTTTTTTTTTCTCTTTCTTCATCTCAAGTTCAACCACACATTCTGTCAATAAAATAATATTGCAAATAAACCCAACAGTTCTTCTTACTTTTTAACCACACATTCTTCCATCAATTACTATTCCAAAATCTATTCTTTCCCCAAAATGGGTGTCAAACACAAGCTAAGTAACAAATAAAGAAACCAAGTTACATAAAGATACTTGGCAAATGCAATAAGCCATGAGAGTAAAAAGATTGTAACTAGCAACATAAAATTCGCTGTAAATAAAGTTGGGTAAACTTCTAAAAATAATACTCACGTAAATCAGCAAAACAAGGTAGATTAAATATACTAACCTTCCTTTTTGTAAGGGTGTTGATAGGTATCAAATTCTTTGGTTGCCGATAATTTCTGCCTCGGAACATGATAATAGTTTTCACATTATGTATGTTGACCACAATGCCACCACTCAATCTTGCCAGCATGCTCGCCATCTCCTTAATTTTTTCCTTGGGGAAGTTATCACAACAAACTTGCACTGTCTCGTGGAACTTCCAGTGAAGATGCATATTTTGAACAACGCCTCCAAAGACTCCACGGACTCCAACAGGAACGTAATTTTTGTTTCTGAAGCCAATCTTCTTATATGCCTGTAACTGCTCGGGAGTAAAAAGTTCAGGGTCATGCCGCGGAGATGGAAGTTCTGGTAGCTCGTATTTTTTCAACTTCTGTAGAAGTAATGCCACTTTTTTCTTGGCCTGTATTAATAAAAAGGCACTAACTGATATGGTAAACGTCTAAAAACATGACAAAAGAATGCTAACTACGTATAATTTATATACTCCCAAATATTAACATAATAGGTTCTGTTTCTGCACTAGTAATTAGATGACAGTGTACTGAACCAAAAGCAAATTACTTCAAAACGAGAGGCAAAACAAGATTGCACCGACACGAAGATTTGCCAATCATTTTCTTAGACAAAAGATAGATGTAGAGACATAAGAGTTTCTTTATCAAAAGCACGTTTTAACAGAGATTACATGAATAATATCAGATTTAACCATTGTCGCATAACTAATAGCTGCAAAAGATAATAAAAAGTATCTTGATTTTATTTATCCTATTAAAAACAAGTGATTAATTTGTTTAAAATTCTTCAACTTTTCTTCTATTATGGATTAACCCAAATCCCACAAAGAAATGGAGCTGAAAACGTGACAGCATATCGTATATGAAGAACTCAAGCAAAGTATTAACATTTCGCAAAATATCACAAGCTCAAATGCAGACATTTTCAGCAACCAAATTGAAACACAATATCTACAAAAACATTTTTGGGGAACTAAAGTTACACAAACAGAACAGTACAAGTTTTACAAATTACAAAGTAAGATATCAACAACTTACTCTTCTTAGATTGTAAATGAGGCGTTCCTCATCGGTCATCAACTTCTTTCTCAACTTCTTAGCCCTCCGAATCTCCCTCAGGGTTTTGCCCGACTCCTTTCGCATCCGCATCTCCACTTTGCTCCTCATGCTCTTTGCCGAAAACCCCCGAGCCCCGTCAAACTGATTCCACAATTTTGCTGAATGAAACAAATTCCCATCTTTTGTCCGAAATACAAAATTCGACCGAGCCACATTGCTAGAACTAGGTAAAAATTTCACCGGACCAACATTTCTGGCAAGCATTACACCCCTGTATAATAGATAAGTATTCGAAATAAAACAAAATTCACAAAAATGAGAAAGATTATTAAAGAAACTTAGATATTACTTGGACGTGGTGTTGAGAAGAGACGAGAGGGATCTGAGAGAGTGTTTTTGGAGATTTCTTGCAGAAGAAAACATTCTTCCTTTTTAGGGTTTCCCTAATATCAAGTGAGAGAATCACTTCCATTCATTGATGAATTCCATGGTTAATTTTGGACCTGAGTCGAATAAGGGTTTTGAGGGTTTAGGGATTTCTTGACAATATCTCTGTTTTTTCTCCAACGATCTTAGACTTCTCATTTATTACATATTTACCCTATATTTCATCTTAGTCATTGTTTGGCCCCCATTATGGAGAATTTATAAATTTTAAAACAATGATTGATAGGAAAATGTATGGTTGAAAAATAAAGAAAATTTTTAAATTTATTTGTAATATTGTTTTATTTGAAAAATGTGTGGTTAATATTAAGAAAGAGAAAATTTTTAAAATTTTAACGGGGACCAAACAAGGTCTAATTTCACATTATCCTTTTGGGCCATGTAAAATATTAAAGGAACCTGCTATGAGTACAGAGTTTTTTCACAGAAAACATACAGGAATTTGAAATGATTACACACACAAAAACATACGAAATTATGAATTGTAGAACTTAAATTCTCCTGTACATGTTATCCCTTCGAATTACCAAGGTAAGTGTAGTAGTACGAATTGTATTTTCAATATTTAAATTACAAAAAATTATGAGCCCTGCTATGAGTACAGGGTTTTTTTCACAGAAAACATACAGGAATTTGAAATGAAGGGAAATGATTGAAAGATTGAAGGAGGGAAAATACACACACTGACGGGATTGATTCATTTCAAAATTCTGGCACAAATTCATGTACTTGAGGAATTTTTCAATATTAAATGACACTTACCCAAAATTTTAGACATATTTTAATAAAAAATGACGATGAAATGTGTAGTAAAAAAATTGATAAAAATTATAAATTTTGTGGTTAAAGTTGTTGATTTTGACTTAGACTAAACATAAATTTATTGTTATATAAAATCATGCTACATGTACAATTTAATTTGTCAATATTAGTTCATAACTCACACTTAAAAACGTCACATTCATTCATTTCAAGAACTGTTTTTTAAAATAGTGGCTCAAATTTTGACGACACCAATATTCAATATTGTCAACCATTTCGTTTCACTTGACTCGTATAATTCTTAACAAATGACCTTGAAACTACCACATTTGCAATTATAAAGTATTTGTGGGTACTCGAAGAGTGCTTCAAAATTTATCCCTGGACTCGTTGCTTCTAATAAGATATTCTGTGACTGCAACTTCAGTTTGTTGTTGACACTGTGCTATTTACTCCGGCAGGATCCACTGAGTTCTTATAATCGGTCGAGCCAATCAAATACGCTGTCTTGAGATGCAACCTGCAAATCCTGCACAAATGGATACGAATGACAGGATTGTTAAATTTATGAAATGCTCATAAAACTAAGTTCACTGCAAGCGGCAGGAGAAACGACTTACTGCAATTGGAAAATCCGGTGGAGTATCTAGTTCCAAATTTTCAATATCAGAAATTCAACAAGTGGTACCATCATCTCTCTGGTTTGCATTGATTCGGTTATGAGCAATTTCGCAGCCAAATGTTCTAACAGCTCTACATCAGATGGATCAAATTTTATACCAGCAACGAGCCCAGGCCATTCATTAACTATCTGAAAATATGAGTTAAATAGAGTCTAAACGTTTACCTACGGGCGAATTGATGACGTTGAAGGAGAAATGAATTGCGTTATTATTGGAACAGAAGACTATGTTGATATACTATCATCTTCTAGCTTAACTCTCTCAATTCTCAATCTCCATACCAGTTTTTGAAGTTATGGATTAAGCTAAATAGTTGCTCTGAGATATGAAGCTTAAAAAATGGCTTCGAAAGAGAAATATCCACTGCTCCAGTATCAGAAAAGTGAGCTTAAATTGGAGCAAGAATTTCTGCTTACGTCACTAATATCAATTCGATAGTGGCAATTTGGGCATTCATGACTCGCTCCACAATCTCAAATGCTTCAGCAAGAGTGGCATTTTTCACCTTTTTAGCTAATCCTCTGCCATCGATTAGCCAAGTCCTGCATCACTTACACTAACTCATACTACACAAAAAAAAAAACATAACTGAAACCATGCTCGTTAGTGTAACTAACAGAGCTAAATGAAAAATCAAGTAGATAAATTCCGTAATTGGACTAAATACAGAATTCTATAGCACACCAGACAAGAGAGCTGCATCTTTAGTATTGATTCGAGCACAATCTCAAACATGAACAGGAGGGAATGAATCAAACTGCATTCTCAGTTCATGATCAACACTCATTCTCCCAACCCCTTGCAGTTTAAAAAAAGAATTCAGTAAAAATAGAGAATAATACCTAATATGGTCATAATTGTTCAGCTCGTGCTCTGGAGTCCGGAGGATCGATATTCACTAATATGAGACCCCTCATACTCGAGCTTCAGGTAGCACCTCTAGGACTAACATTACAGTTCTTACAATATTTTGTGATGACCATCATCAGGGTGAGTCCTCGAGATATTTAGACCGAAATATGTCGTGTCCTCGAGCACTTTCATTTGCCAAACTCAAAGACCTTCCTGCCTAAATATTGACAGATCCTATTCTAAACCTATCCAAATACCTCAAAACTCAAGACTCCTATATCTAAAAGGTGTCTATGTCTGTAAATATTATAATCGAACTATGACTAGAATTACAATTGCAATCCGTAGGACTTCTAAGAATGAGGATACTTAGCAACAAAGTCTAACAAGAAATGTACTACCTACATCTATAACTACAAAGCTTCTATTCATTATTCAAGTACGCTTTTACATAATTTTCAATCTATTACCTCACGCATAAGTTTTCTCTAACTTAAACATCGGATGGGCGACGAGAACACACTTTGATGCCTTTGTTTCAGGTACCAGAAGATCTCGTTCATACCCATTCTCAGTCGTCAAGCTCAGAAATCAACGAGTATGATTTTTGGTAGCATCATCAACGCCGTCGATGGGCAACACTACCAAAAGCCATGGTTAATTTACGTTCAAGTCTTCCTTCGACAAGCTCATCTGCTCCAAACCCACCTCTTATTGCTGATCCCCCAATTCATCAAGAAGAATCATCATAAATACCAGCTCCCCAACTAATAGTGATCACCATGAGAGCATTCGAAGAACTCCGTCAACAAGTTGTCACGCTAACTCAATTGCTAAGTCAAAGAAATTCTCATCCGGCACAGGCACCGATGCCAACATTGGCACCACCTGGAATGTTCACGGCCGATGCTTGAACTCGCGACGCTCGCGACAATGGTGGATCCGGAGCCTTGGGCGCAACAATGATGCTACAAAAAATCGTGCTTGTTGATTTTCAAGCTTGACAGAAATCTTCCAGTATTTGAAACATAGGAGTCGAGGTGTATCCTCATCGCCCTTTCAATGCTTAAGTTAGAGAGAGAATTTATGCGTGAGGCTATACACAAAAATTATGTAAAAGTGTACCTGAATAATGAATAGAATCTTAATATTTATAAAGGTGGGTAGTATATTCCTGGTAGTATTTGGTTGCTAAGTATCCTTATTCTTAGAAGTCCTATTTGAGATAAGTGTTGAATTGCAAATTTGCAATTGTGAGTCTAGTTATAGTTCGACTATAATATTTAGCGATATAGACACCTTCTAGACATAGGAATCTTGAGTTGAGGTATTTGGATAGGTTTAGAATCCTTGGAAAGTAGGATCCGTTGTGTTTAGGCAAGAAGGTTTTTGACTTTGGCAAAGGAAAGCACTCGAGAACACAACATACTTCGGTCAAAATATCTCGAGTACTTACCTTAAGGATGGTCATCACAAAATATTGTAAGAACGGTAATGCTAGTCCTCCAGGTACCTAAGGACTACCTGAAACTCGAGGATGAAAGGTCTCATATTAGTGAATATCAATCAACAGGACTCCAGAGCTCGAGTAGAACGATTATGACCATATCGGTGAACCAGCAATGTTCAATGCATACTTATACAAACACAAAAACCAATGATCTATCAATAAGCAAGCGCTCAAGGAAAAGGTTCTTTACAAAGTTGCATTGAGTGCAAATGGCACTATAGTTTGTTATTCATGAGGATACCTTAAAAATTAATGGAGTAAAGGCCTTTGGATGGACCTTATTTTACAGCTACAACACATCACAGTAACCTTAACTCCATTATCTAGAAAAGCAAGCTAAAATCTTGCTCACTAACATTGTCCCGTCTTGATCAGTATATAGCAAACATGCCATAGAGATCAGTAGCACTGGTGAAAACAAGAGAAGAATCTTCTTGGGTTGTTTTCCATTGGTGTGCCGCCATTGTCATCTCTCCCCGCCATCAAAGCGCTTGTGCCTGGAGATGCTGGTGGGAAGACGACATTCTCGGAAGTGAAAATCTTGGGTGGTTCAACAGGTTCAGGTGGTGAAATTCTTGAGAGGTAATGCAAAAGCATCTGTATTATCCGAATGAAGTTGGGACGCTCATTTGGATCCTCCTGCCAGCACGAAGTCACGATTAAAGCCAAATCTTCAGGAAGATCATCTGCGTTTGGCCTTACATTCTGAGAAGGAAGGTACAAATTTTAAGTAACAATTAATAGACTAAAACAAACAACCCCATATACAAGCAGCCTTTTTAAATCACAATGAGAAGTCTTTCAGCTGCACTAACGAAGTTATCCTTAGAATCATCAAATCAGGGAACGAAAAAAAAAGAGGCTGCTAGACACTGAAAAGGGAGGCAGTGTATAAAGAAGAATCCTCAATGTTGTGGTGAATTTCTCCATTTCAGTGTCTTTTCTACATAACCTCAAATAAGGGTAGCATCTTTTCTACATATTAAGCCAACGCATTGAACAAAATATGTGCATTTTATTGACTCGAGGCTATCAATGCATTATACGATTTAAGAGAAGGGAATTACTTTAAAAGCAGCAGCATAGGCGGCCTGCAAATTTGACATGCCGTTGAAAGGTAACTTATTATTTATGAGCTCCCACAACACAATTGCAAAACTGTAAGCGTC